CCATCACTTGATGCTGTATATATATATATATATATATCTTCAAGAGTTCTTGAGATTTTCACTTGAAATTTTGTGGGGACATTCTTGAATTAGTGTAGATTCGAATTAAATCAAAAAATTTTTTGACCCCGAGAATGGGGGGGTCCCCTTAAATGTAAACATCTGCAAGTATCCAAAATATGAAAAAATATACGGCGGTTCAATAGAGAAATTCATTGTATAAAAATTAACGATAGCCAACACTTTTGGTCGAAAGAATATTCTAATAATAACTTCCCAACGGTACAAAACAAAATTAATTCTAGACCCACTGGCGATTACATTTTATTAGGTATTCGGAAGTATAGAAGAACCAATTTCATTAATAGAACTAAATTCGGTATTAACAACACTGAATGGTAAATTTCTGGAGAAGATAGCATTAACTACAGAATGATTTCTATAATGCCTAATGAACTAAAATATGGACTACTAAATTTATATATCAACATTTTTGACACATTGTAAAATTTATCAGTAATATCCTTAGATTTTACAAAGGCATATGATAAAATTGGCATTCTATTGAAATCGTGGAAAATAGGAACCTACATAATTAAATATTCATATTTTATTTGGATGTCTATTGGATGTATATATAATATTGTCTCCAACCTTAGTGTTTCGATTGTTTCTATCCTATCTACCATAGTTTCGGGTTGGGTGTGGGTCTTGGATAGAAACTTCTTGATTTTTGAAACGTCGTTGATACTATCTACCTTTTCGCAGAACAGCTTCCAGGAGGTGCGTTGGCGGTTCTTGTCAATATATTGTATTCTTTCCGATTATCGCGGAAGTTTGTAGTGTGCAACGGGTTAATATTGTATTATATTACATGAAGATGATTTGGAATGAATCGTTTGACTTGGCACGCATAATTCACCAGCCTTATTGCTCGTCGTTAGGGTAGGTTCTTGTCAAATTCATCCATTAATTATGCCAACTACCAGTTAATTTTATAATGCGTGCATGAATTTATTATACGAAGTAGATAAAAGAAAGAAAATAGATAGAAGACTAGAAAGGGATAGAAGGGAACCTATAGTCCAGGTGGAAATCATGAGAAGGAAGAAGAAGAGTGTTTCCAACATAGTTTGTTTAAGCCATGCAAAGCTGTAGGTGCATGGTCAGCCCTCCCATCCTGTCTACCATATTGATCCAACCAACAACGAATCGTAAAAGTTTATATGATAGACCCATATTTAAATTACCTAACTTCACCTAACCGAACCCTTTAAAATTCAAATTTGAAATTCAATTTAGACCATGGTTAACAAAACCAAAAATTTATTAAAGAAAAATTCCGTCTTAATTTAACAACTAATTTTTTTAATTATAAGAAATTTCAAATTATTAAATATATTTTTGTAAATAAAGTTATTTCCAAAACAAAAAAATTCATTATGCTAATTGAAATAACCTGAATCGTTAACTAAAAGTAGAATGCAGAATATTCTTCAACAAAATCTACTTAAAAAAAACTAATAGCAATAAAAAAATTATATTGGTACACAAAAGAAAATAATATTGATTAAAAATTATTTAAAAAAATTATTAAAAATTAATTAAAAATATCAAAAACATATTTTAATATCGACATCATTCGAATTGAAACATAAATATCACCATCAATTTGTTAACAGGTTAATCTTTTTATGTATGTTTGTGTGTTTTCTTTCTCAATTTCCTTTTCTTCAACAGAAGATCAGCTGTGCAGTTCATTGACCTATACAAGTGTTGCTTTCATGCAAACACACGCACACACGGTCAATAACTTCTGCATATTCGTTGACGGTTTAAATGCATTAATGTATAATCGAAGTTATTTAAAAAAAATTATATCATATAAAGCAAAATTTATAAAAAGAAATACTTCAATAGATATACGTTGTTGGATTTATTTATAAAAAAACATTCAAACAAAAGCAAAATATTGCTAACTAAATTTGTAGGGGAAGCAGTGCTTTCCAAACTGTATACTCTCATTAGCAGAGTTAACATCGCTAGATGATCGTAACAGCGAGTTTTATGTTAAACGAGCACTAACATAAACAAAACCAACATCCGTATAATCTAACAGAGGAAACAAAGGCAAACAAACACCAACATCAATAACCTTTAAATTAAAAGCAATATAAATTCTTTTAAACATGAAACGACAAAAAAGAATAAATTTTTTGTTTAAAAGGAATAATTTACAGAATATTTATTTTTGTTTACAATTGATATGTGGATTCTAAGAGCGATAACGGTTAATCCGCTTACTTCTTAGTTCCAAGCTATCAACTGGTTGGTGGTTGCTTGCTAATAGTATAAGAGATTTGGACTTACTTTGATGATATTCTTCATAATAATTTCTTGGTTATAAATTTTGTTTATATGATTTTTTTTTTTAATAATTATATATATTTCTTCTTTTTAATATTTTTTTTCCTCTTTTTTTATACTCCGATTTTTATCTTCTCTCAAATCATTGATTTGTTTTCAGAGGTTTTCTCTCTCTGTTTTTTTTTAAATACCTTCAGTTCTGTTTTCACACAAATTGATGTTGCTCATGTTTCAATTTCGAATGTTTCCGACTGATTTCTTTTATGTTAATTTGTTTTTTTTTTCTTAAAGTTCAGCAATAATTGGCATAAAAAATCACATATTTACTGAACAAATAATTAATTTCTAATAATAATTTTTTTAGCTGATTTTCTGGAGACACTGGATTTTAACTGATTTCTTTATTCTGCAGAATCTGATTTTTTATCAATTTTTTTCCTTTTTTTCAACACACAACCGACAGATCTCTACTACTCGAACCAACTAAAATATGCTGCCGATGATGTTGGTAAAGGTGTGGTGTTACGGCTTATGGGCATGAAGGGCATCAGAAAACCAGAACCAAGGGGAATGCAAATATCAATAGAAATCACATACAATATATGCAATACTGCAGGAAAACACTAGGGCTCCAAGGAAGGCAAAAGATAATAGCCAAAATTGTTTCCAAAACTAAATTTGGCTAACGCAAATTTATGGGTCTGATGAATTCCATGGAAACTTTTTAAAAAAAATCAGAAATTGATAAGGCGTAAAAGTAGTCCACGCCAGAAATTAAAATTTTGTATTCGGAAATACTTTAAAAAAACAAGATCTAGAATTTTTCTTTTTTTCTTATAATTTTGGCAGGTTATGTAACAAACTTAAAAATTTTTGCCAATGAAAGTATACACCGCTTCACAATCAGAACCAAATGCTCAAAATGTCTTCCCGGTTACACCCTTTTGTAACCTCGGCTAAATCCATATAAATACGGCTGAATTACCAATACTCCTCAAATAAATAAAAATCCAATATGGCTACTTTCTAGTACAAATACATGTACAAAACACTCAATTCTAATGTTTAAATACGTATAAAGCCATATCGTAAACTAAACACATACGCAAATGAAAGAAAGCTTTCACCACAATTACGTAGCATATATGCTGTTTGGTTGTTGCACACACCAGCACTCAAAAGATAGGGAAAAGATCATATTATAGTAAATTTGGTGATATGTTCATAATAAAATATTTAAAAAAATTTAAAAACGTAAAAAAATCAAATCTAACAAAACAAAAAAAAAATCAGAAAAAATGTTGTCCTCGCTATGATTCGAACCCGGGTCTTCCGGTTCGGAACCCGACGCGCTTCCTCTGACCTACAAGGGGCGTCGGATCCAGGCTGGCTAAATGGGATCAACGTTAGATCACGATTAGCGGTATATTAACTAAGATCTCTCTGGTCCATTATAGTATTACAGCATTATAATGTATAGATGGAGCAGTAAAGAAGAGAGAAGTAAAAAAAAAAACAAATCAATATAGCAATGAGGGTGCCATAATAAATTTATAAATTCTCAAAATCTACATGCGCCTCTACAAGTTGTCCCAGAAAACTGTAGAATTTTTTCGGTGTGCTCTGTTGTAAAGCCTTCGGGCCTCTTTCCCCTGTCATCCAGGACAATTTTCTTCGAAAACCTTTATAATTACTTCCTTTAATTGGTTGTCGTTCCTGTCTATGTCATTCGTGTCTAGGCACTCATAATTCGGTTGCCCTAAACTCTCCTTGACTATGGGTTTCGGTGGAAGCCGTTGGATTTTGAACATAATATATTTGTGGTCAGAAAAGGAGTACTCTTTTGAGACTCTCCATTCCTGGACCTCATCTATTAAGTTTGCTGAACATATTGTTATATCTAATACCTCCTTTCTAATTCTGTTAACAAAGGTAGGCTTAAACGACATATACATTAGAACTTTTTGCCGGGTTAACCTACATTATGAGGATTTATTTGAATCAGGATTTATTTGAATCAGGATTTATTTGAGGATTTATTTGAAGCAAAGGAATCGAAAATTGAAACCCACTGGGTTAACAAAATCCGGTTAAATGTAAACGTACTATTATTGCCTATGTTAATGGTTATTAGATCGTTAGTATTTAATTTTAAAATGAAATAAGTCCCCAAATAATGAAATAAGTCCCCAATTATAGATGTTTTTGTTTTGTGTTTGTGGACTTATTTCATACCACCCAATTGCTTATGTCAAGGTTCATTTCAGGCAATCAATTGGATGGACATATTCTGAGGGTTTTCCATAATTAACAATTGTTTAAAAAGATTATATGTCATTTTTAGCCCAAAATATTACCAAAAATAACTACAATGTGATGAATTCTTAAAAGTTCCAAAGAAAATATCTAGAAATGCTGATATACTTCAAAATACATTTTGCAAATTTTCGCAGATTTTTCTTAAGATTTATTTCATTAAACCTTTTTACTTTAACAGACAGCTGAAAGCATTTGAAGCACAAAAAAATTTGAGTTACTATACATTGTAACAAAAAATAAATAAATTATATACAAAAACCTATAATATGTACTGAAATGTAGAATAATTAAAATGTTACATTTTTATGTTGCAGGATCTATTGCGAAAACTCTAACGTGCTCAGAATTACATAAGCGCGCTGAAAAAATTGCCGCTTTATTGCAGGAAAAAGGAAAAATCGAGCCCAATGATCACGTTGGTAAGTTTACCTTGGAAAACCAAGTAAGGTAAATAATTTTTAACAACATTTTTTTATTTCAGCATTAATATTTCCTCCCGGATTGGATTTATTATGTGCATTTTACGGTTGCCTTTATTTAGGAGCTATACCAATTACCATTCGACCACCACATCCACAAAATTTAATTACGACACTGCCTACTGTGCGTATGATTGTTGACGTATCTAAGAGTGTCATTGTATTGTCTATCCAGTCGATAATAAAACTGTTGAAATCCAGGGAGGCAGCTGCTTCTATAGATCCAAAGACATGGCCAACAATATTGGATATTGATGAAAATCCCAAGAGAAAAATTTCAAGTATTTACAATGCACAATTAGATTCGACAGCATATCTGGACTTCAGCGTCTCAACATGCGGCAGACTAAGTGGTGTAAACATAAATCATCGGTAATGTTTGAAATGGGTAGTACATATTTTTTTCATAACATAACCCTTTTTCTTTAGTTCCCTTTCAAGCATTTGTGCCAGTTTAAAGCTTGCTTGTGAATTGTATCCATCTAGACATGTGGCTTTATGTTTAGATCCATACTGTGGACTGGGATTTGCAATGTGGACGCTTATTGGAGTTTATAGCGGTCATCACTCAATTTTAATCGCTCCATACGAAGTTGAGGCCAATCCAAGTTTATGGTTATCCACCTTATCGCAGCACAGAGTCAGGGATACATTTTGTTCATATGGCGTTATTGAACTGTGTACCAAAGCCTTAAGCAATTCAATTCCCTTATTAAAGCAAAGAAATATTGATCTAAGATGTGTGCGCACATGCGTGGTTGTTGCCGAAGAAAGACCCAGAGTTCAATTAACTCAACAATTCTGCAAATTATTCCAGGCTCTTGGTTTGAATACTAGGTGTGTTTCGACATCGTTTGGATGTAGAGTTAACCCTGCCATTTGTGTCCAAGGCGCGAGTTCAGCGGAAAGCGCTCAAGTTTATGTGGATTTGAGGGCTCTTCGAAACAACAGAGTTGCACTTGTTGAGCGAGGTGCTCCCAACTCACTATGCCTAATAGAATCGGGGAAACTTTTACCAGGTGTTAAAGTTATAATTGCAAATCCCGAAACTAAGGGTCATTGTGGAGATTCACATTTAGGAGAAATATGGGTATGAATACAGTTCTAGAAATTAAAAAATTCTCGTTATCATAAAACAATTTATAGGTGCAATCTTCCCACAATGCAAATGGATATTACACAATTTATGGAGATGAAACCGACTACAATGACCACTTCAATGCTAAACTCGTCACCGGTGCAACTACTGAAGTTTATGCGAGAACTGGGTATTTGGGGTTCTTAAGACGTACAGAATGTTCGCAATCCGTTTCTGTATTAGATGAAACAACTCCCAGTATTGCAAGTCGAGACAGTGATAATGACTCCATTAACTCATTGAACCATTCCCATGCTAACATTATTCATACTTCTGGCAATTCAGTAACACTAAGCGAGCAGGGAGACCAGGAACAGCACGACGCGGTGTATGTCGTTGGTGCTCTTGATGAGGTAATTGCTTTACGCGGCATGAATTATCATCCAATTGACATAGAAAATTCGGTTTTGAGGTGCCACAAAAGGATTGCCGAATGGTATGCTATAAATATCCACACTGTTGTATAATATTCTTATGCGTTTTGTTTACATAATATCCCAGCGCGGTATTCACTTGGACAAATTTACTTGTCGTTGTCGTTGAGTTGGATGGAAACGAATCCGAAGCTCTCGACCTGGTGCCACTGGTCACAAATACAGTCTTAGAGGAACACCAATTGATAGTAGGAGTCGTAGTTGTTGTAGATCCAGGTAAGTTTAGGTTTAAGCAATACCCTTAGTGAAATGGAAAATAAAATTAAAATTATAGAACGATGTTAAATGCTTTGCTCTGTATTTGCAATACTAATACAAAGTTAACGCTGTTCTAACAAGTTTATACATAAATGTGTTAAGGCAGGAAAGACTACAGGTATAGGTGCATTGAACCGCGTTAATTGCTTTATATTAGTTTTACTCTTGAAGGCAATAACCATCGGATGCGGGATAATTTCAATCTATACCATGAGTTGTGGCGTTCCGTAACGACGTTAACTGACAACCCGTCATTTTTTTCGCGCCATAATCCGCATCATGTATGCATTTGAGACGGAATGGAAAACCAGCTACAGTATATACTTCAAAGACTGGTTTATTGTTATCTTCTAATCATTGAAACGTATAATTATTTTTGATTTTAAAGGTTCAGGTACATAACAATATGCGATGAAAATCTACTAGTGGACTTTAGCCCGGAAAGGAACATTTATTCTGATAGATGAGAATATGAAATTGGAAGGAGGGTATATTTAATATTTTTATACTATAATCGTGTGTAACATAACATGCTCGGGTGCTTTAGGGACAATCATTTCAACCATCATATGGTGGATAAGACTCCCCCACCCAGGCGTGTCAGGAAGGGTCTGCATGATCTAGATAGAGGTTCAACGTTACAAAAGGGAGCCTCTAGATCAAGTTGCCTATCGAACAGGTCTGAATAGCATTCATACTGATGGAGTAGCCGCAGCGTTGAGTTCACCCCCACCCAGCTGAAGCACGTCAGCTGCCCAGACAAACCGGAGTAGTTTTGGCCCAATTACGTTCAGGATGGTGCAGCCGTCTCAATTCGTATTAGGCACGGATTGATATCCAGGTGCAGAATGTCTGCCCAGCATGTGGTACGGGACCTTATACCACACTGCACTTATTCAATTGCCCAGCAAAATCTACCCATCTGACTCCTGAAGATCTGTGGTCGCAGCCAGTGCAAGTAGCTGCATTTCTTAATTTGGAGACAGAACCATATTGAATTTAAACAGGAAAAATATATTCATATAAACTGCTACAACAACAAATAAACAACAACCAAACCGAGAATGGGGGAGGTCCCCTTTATCCAATAATTTTTGAACACGTTTACAAAAGTGAAATCAGATTTTGAAAACTTCGTAAAATGAACCCCAAATGCGGTTTTAACATAAGAAATAATCAAACTAAATACGTTTGATATATTTAATTTCTTATCAGTATTTTATAAAAATAGCATAATATCGTTTTATGTATTTCATACCCAATAAGATTACAAAATACTTAATTAATGCAATTTGGTTGAAAAAGTTGCATAAAAAGTCCAAAATATCCTACTGGTATATGGAGGCTACGCTAATAAATCGATTATTGAAAACACAAACGACAAAACCAGTAAGGAAAGCAGTAAAGTCGGACGGGGCCGACTATATGATACCCTTCACCACTTTCGGTATATCCAAAAAATGAAACCTAAAAGACGTCGAATTTTTAAAGGACCAGGGACAAAATTATGAAAATCAATTATAAGCGTATATATATAAGCTATATCAAAATCTAATCCGATTTGAACTAAACTTGCCACACGTTATGTTATAGTAACTTCAGTACGTAGAACAAATTGTTGTGCCTATTGGACTCTCAGTGGTGAAGCATTTAAAACCAACTTCTAGGTTATTCTAACTCCAGTACGTTGTGAAAAGTTTGTGTCAATTTTGTGTAAAATCGGACGACACCGTTTACATTAAATCGGACGAAAATATATATGGGAGCTATATCTAAATCTGAACCGATTTTCTCGAAACTTGGCAAACATCATTCTGGACCTAATTCAGTACTCTGTGCCAAATTTCATGCAAATCGAAAGATATAGAGGGACTTTGATGCCCCATTTACCTTAAATCGGACGAAACTATATATGGGAGCTATATCTAAATCTGAACCGATTTTTTCGAAACTTAGCACACATCATTCTGGACCTCATTCAGTACTCTGTGCCAAATTTTATGCAAATCGAAAGATATAGAGGGACTTTGGTGCACCATTTACCTTAAATCGGACGAAACTATATATGGGAGCTATATCTAAAGCTGAACCGATTTTCTCGAAGCTTGGCACACATCATTCTGGACCTAATTCAGTACTCTGTGCCAAATTTCATGCAAATCGAATGATATATAGGGACTTTGGTGCCACATTTACCTTAAATCGGACGAAACTATATATGGGAGCTATATCTAAATCTGAACCGATTTTCTCGAAACTTGCACACATCATTCTAGGCTTAATTTAGTACGCTATGCCAAAATTCGTGCAAATCGAAAGATTTTCAGAGACTTTGGTGCTCCATTTACCTTAAATCGGACGAAACTATATATGGGAGCTATATCTAAATCTGAACCGATTTTCTCGAAACTTGGCACACATCATTCTGGACCTAATTCAGTACTCTGTGCCAAATTTCATGCAAATCGAAAGATATAGTGGGACTTTGGTGCCACATTTACCTTAAATCGGACGAAACTATATATGGGAGCTATTTCTAAATCTGAACCGATTTTCTCAAAACTTGGCACACATCATTTTATACTTAATTCAGTACGCTATACCGAAATTCGTGCAAATCGAATGATTTTAAGGGACTAAAGTCCGTAAATCGGACAAAAATATATATGGGAGCTATATCTAAATCTGAACCGATTTTTCCCAATTTCAATAGGGTTAGTCCTTGGGCCAAATAAATGAGCTGTGCCAAATTTCAGCCAAATCGGATTATAAATGCGACCTGTACTTTGTTTACAATTTAACATCAACAGACGGAGGGACGGACATGCATAAATCGACTCAGAAAGTGATTCTATGCATATTCTCAAAAGGAACCATGGGTCTATCTCGTTTCTTTTTGCCTGTTACAAACATATGCACAAAGACATAATACCCTGTACCACAGTGTGGTGAAGGGTATAAAAACAAGATATTGAGGAAAAATATTTGGATTTTGGTTCGAAGAAATAATCTCATCCTATTTATTTTTTTATTTTTGTACAAGAAATTTCAGAAAAAAAAAGTTGGGGTTATTCTTCTATTTTACCCGAATTTCGCCGAAAAGTTTACATATATAAAAATAATCACTTTTTGTATATAAGTATACACCTAGCGGATTATAGCAAGACCCTTCCGATAAATCTGGGGATTCTATAAGTAGAAATAAATCTTAAAATAAAACTATATTATGAAATATACATTTTAAATTGTGTCTAAATCGCGTAATTCAAAAAATGCGGTTTCCAGGAAGTACTGAAGTTTATCTTCCAATTCATTTAATTTAATTTATTTTTTCACATTAATTTCAAAGTCCGCAGACCTCATTTAAGAAATTACCAGTCTACAAATCTCAAAATTACACTTATAATAAACAATAACGCGAAAATCCTCGAATATAAAATTATGGTAAAAATAAATAGAGGGTATCTTACAAAATGTAATTATATAGGATGGGGTCTACTCAATTAAAATCACAAGGTAGAATCACAATTACACAATCACAAAGGAATTTAAAAACAACTTTTACCATGAATCATTAGTACGTAAAAAGGTATAAAGTCTATGTCGGTAAGCACTAGGTGAGAGATGAAAGCTTCTTAAATGAAGTGGTAACGTATTAAATTTCCTAGCTACTCGAACATAAAAAGATCGCTCTAAAATTGATTTTAGTTTTGGAACTATAAGCTGAGGGTTTCTAGTTGATTTTGAAAAAGTAAATTGTTCCATTAAGAAAATAGGAACACGGCATATATTTACTTTATAAAAATGCAAAATACAACGTCCGACAACGAAATCTTGAAATGAACATCCAATAAAATCAGAAACATATGACGACACATGATCCCGAACCTTTAGTGTATAAACAAAACGAATAAGACGATTAAAGACTAAATGAACCTTTCTACAAATTCCAACCAATGTTCCCGAGTAAACTTCAATACAATATAAAACAATTGGCATAACTAATGCATGCGCCAATTGCCGCCTAATTTGCAAAGATAAGGAAAGTTCAACGTTGTACAACTTCCTTAAGAGAAAATTTACTTTCGATACGACAGAATTAATTTGCATATCAAAATTCAGGTCTTTGTCAAGCCAAATACCTAAACACTTAACATGATCAACAACCTTAATATCAACATTATTTATACGAACATACACAGGCATAGCTGAACTTGTCCCAAATTTAATGGCTATAGTTTTAGTTGAACTAATAGCTAATTTATTGATACCCATCCACTGATTCAATACTGAAGTCGAATGATCAATAACTGCTTGTAATACTTCAGGAAACTCATAACTACTTTTAAACAATATTTGGATGTCGTCAGCAAACACATAAGGCTTACAATTAGCCGAGGAAAGCATATTAAAAAGATCATTCGTGTATAGAGTAAACACTACTCAAAACTGGTAATAAACTAGAGCTACATCCATTAGACGAAACATATTGAAATCTTGAAGATAAATACGAAGACATTAGCCTAGAAGCATTACCCGAAAAACCATATGTAGAATTTAGTTTCCTAACAAGTAAATTATGATCCAGACGATCAAATGCTTTTTCAATATCAAGGCACAGACGATCAAATGCTTTTTCAATATCAAGGCACGATCACTAACTTCGGTTCTAATAGAATCAGTTAACCCTGCCAACAGCGAAGTAGTGCTACGATTCCTACGAAAACCCATTTGACAATCATGGAGCAATCCATTGGAAGAAACCAACTCCATTATTTGGAGCTTAATTAAGCGCTCTAGAATCTTTGATAATATAGGCATTATTGAAATAGGCCTAAATCCACCTGACGCACCATTTTTGCGTATTGGTATCACTTTTCCAATTTTCCACAACGACGGGTAGGACGATGTCACAAATATAGTATTAACTAAATGCATGACATGAATAGCAACATACG